CTTCCTTCCTTCCTTCCTGTAAAGAACAGCAATCAGGATTTTTTTAGCAACAAGTAATAAGTGTTAGGCATGAACAACCAGATCCATATGTGGAAGAATTCAATTAACTATTTTATTGCTCAAGTCTATATATAGGAATCTTTTCAGATTGGCAGTTTTCCACCTGAGTAAGACTAGATAAGATTCAACGGGACATTTGGTATGTGTTGTGTTGCACTTTGCCTTCCTGTGCCCACATAAGAATTCCAGACTTATTCCTTATTTGACTCCTCCTCCTGGCTCGGCTGTTCTCTCTTCTACAAAAAGTAACTTTTCATGTATGTATCCACAAATCTCCAAGAATTGTTTTTGCCATGGGGAAATTCACATTGTAAGATATATTAATTTTTAATGAATTTTTCTTCAGTCTTGCAGCATTTAACCATAAGGAAGACTACCAAGTAGGTGGGGGAAAAAGCCTATGGACATATAGTTGTGCTATTTTCATCTATAATGGAATCTATTTGGGAATGTGTTGCAGATAATTATTTTCCATATATAGTTCAATGTACTATAATGGACGAGTTAAAATAATTGTTTGCATTATCATGAATATTAGTATCATTGGAATGATGAATAGTGGTGCCTCTCAATCCCAACATAGTGGTTCCCAAACCTGGGAATTCTGGTAATTTCAGTACCAGTGTAAATGGAGAGCACTTAGTTGGAGTAGATTGATATGGCATAAGATGTTAAATACAATACTATATATACAGTAAATTCTACAATATTGTCTCAGCAACTTGTCTCAGAAGGGTAAAGCAGGGTAAAGTCTGGGTAGTACTTGGATAGGAGACTTCCATGGCATTCTAGGTCTATAAACTAGGCTGGGATATCAAAATGGCAAAGCATAGCTATACTACTGCATGTTTGTGTCTATGAAGTCACTAAAAACTGAGCTTGATACGAGGTCACCTTTCGCTTTTGTCTGGTACAGTATTGTAAATTAAGTTCTGAAGATAGTAGCAGTTGTAAAGTTTTTACTACATCTGAAGAATACAAAAAATATTTTTTTAAGGAGAAGACAACAATGTAGCTAGATTTGGAGACAGTTGTGTGTAGTAGGTACACTACTACAGTACTAAAGTAGGTAGGCTTGGAAAATCAAAGTAAAGACTACCTTTAGTTCACTTTGACATGTTGCATCTTCATGAATGTGACTATATTATCTTGGCAACAATGAGGGACATGGTTTGTCCTGTGATAGGAGAGGAAATTTAAAAAGAAAAATTATCTACTACACGCTACTCTTCTTTCCCAGTATTTTTATTATGTACTTTCCTAGTATTTTGACCTTTTTGAGGGGAGGAGTGATTGGATTTATTATGAAAAAATAAAAAAAAATCCCTCACAGATGCAATATCCAATGAAAAGGTAAGGAATTAACATTTGGGTGCCATGTGCTTATACTACTAAATTAATTATTAGTAATTTAGTCTGCAACAGCAAATAGTCAGAATCAGACATCAAGCGATTCCTGCATGGAAAGAAATTATAAACATTAAAACATTAAAAATAAACATTCTAAGAAATTATAAATACTACTGTGTTCCTGAAATAAGAAAATGTGAAGGAATTTTATTTAATTCTTTTTTCCAAGGTCTCTGATGAAAACCTCACTGGTTTTAACCCTGCAATAATAAGCTATGTAGTATTTGATGGTGGAGTTTTCATTGATCCCATATTTGGAGATATGCTTGCTACCCCCAATAACTTTACACAGGTATGAAATTGAGATGTCTTCTTGAAAGCAATTTATATGCACATGTATGTAGGAAGGGTTTTAAAAAAAAGTTTCTTACCTGTTTCATTATAAGAATATTGGATGAAGGGAAAGGCTCTTCATTTCACTCCAGCCACTTCAATGGAATGAAGAAAAAGAGACAGCAAATGATAGATCCCCATATTCAGGCAATTGTACATTCCCATAAATCCCAAATGTGTGAGGAAGATGATGATGTTTATATCTTTATCTTTCTGTTCCTCCTGAAATAATCTGTTTGAACACAAACAGGAACAAAATAGATCCTAAGCAATTAGAGTATATCTATTTAAATAAAAGTTTGATTATTATGCTACTCTCCAGTGGTTATTTGTCTATAGAACACTCTCTCAACTGGGTGATCTCCAGATGATGTAGAGCAGAGGTGGTATTCAGCAGGTTCTGACCAGTTCTGGAGAACCGGTAGCGGAAATTGTGAGTAGTTCGGAAAACTGGCAAATGCCACCTCTGACTGGAGATTTTACAGTATCCTTCCCCTGCCACGCCCACCAAGCCACGCCCACAGAACCAGTAGTAAAAAAAATTGAATCCCATCACTGATGTAGAGGTCAAATGCCAGAAATCTGAGCAATTGCCATCTGCTGGAAAGAGCTCCAATGAGGCAAAAGATTGATTTAGAGTCATAGACGAGACCTGTTTATTGGCATAACTGAATGGATTGAACATTTTCATTTTCTTTTTACTGTCACTGAGATAATTTGTGATCTATCTATTTTAAAATAGTATAATGCTGTGGTTAATTTACCTCAATATTTGAATGTTATGTTTTCTCCATCTGGATTCTTTTCTTTTGGAGCCAACTGAATTATAAAGTTCAGTAATTTTGAGAGAAAGTCAACAAAATCTCACCTAAACTTGGAGAAACTAGTTAGGTCAAGAAAGGGCTATGCATGTCCTTAAACTGGTGGTGGAAATCAACAGAAATCATTTGCTCCTCTATTTGAAAGGAAATTACCTGATTATTTACATGGAAACATGGTGGTGTTGGTTGGTGATGAAATCTTAAAAGAATATTGATGTATCTACTAAGAAGATAGTCAAAATTAGTTTGTTTTCATGCCAGTTCAAGTTAGATTTTTCTAACCATCTCTATCAAACTCTCTAGATAAATTTTGAAAGTCCACACACACACACACACACACACACACACGCACAAAGGAAAAAAAGATGCAAAGAAAATGGGCATGAAAGATTTGATCCCAATCTAGGTCAGTTTTTAAATAATAAAGCTTGTAACAGAAACAGCTACAATCCTAGAACCAGTTTAATGCAAGCCCTGATTTGAAATGTTTACAAGATAAAACAAGCCGGTGAGGGCTGCTACGTTGAAAGAAGGCCAATGGACTTGTGACATATTTGGAAGTCTCAGAAGGCCCTTGAAAACATTTGACTGCCACATTAATTTCAGATAGGCCACCTCCTAGTCTTTTCTACATCATTTTGGAATTCTGTATTAGATTTTGCTCATGGTTGTGTTCTGTGTTGAATACTTTTTTTCTTTATTAAAATATTAATTTTTTAGTTCACAGTCAAAACTGTTTACTTATATTACAAACTTTAAAATCAAGGAATATTGTCATTGTTTGAGTTTTAATTATTTTTAATATTCTGAACTGTTCAGTGGGTCTCAGTTCTTTTATTCATTATTTCATTAATACTATTTTCTGTCAATCCAGGTTGTAGTTACAGTGAATGACATTCCAGCAAATTGTTCTGGCTCATGCACTTTTCAGTATCTCACGGAAATGACTCCTTTAGTCAGTAACATTGACTATTCAACAGGTAATGCTGCTTCAAATGGGTATACTATTATTATCATGAAGGTTTATAGGAATTTTTCTGGTTTCAAGGGGAAAGTGAAGAAGTAGCACAAAAGATCTCTAACTTTTTCATGGAACTAATGATTGAATGATAAAGGCTGAACCTTGCTGGTCTTTAGGAAATTAATGTATCCAGTCACTGGCCAAATCACTCGCTGAGAAGCATGACTGAAGATGATCTCAATGAATGGGAACCAAAAGCTTTTTCTTAGGGCTCAACAAATTCTACCAACTCCTGGGGATCCTAAAGGTGTTTTTTCAAGAGGCAACTTGACTTTCTGGTTTTTCTTTGGAGACGTTTCGCTTCTCATCCAATAAGCTTCTTCAGCTCTGATTGGATGGTGAGGAATGGAAGGATTTATACCCCTTGCAGACAGCTGGTCATTTGCATTCTTTTGGTGGGTCATTAAGGTCACCTGGAGGTTTATCTGTGTCATCAGGATCATCTGAATAGTGCAGATGGGTGTGGAGCCTTCTTTAAACTGTTGAAAGGACTGGAGAAAGGATTGGAGATAGATGATGTCATATCTCTCCCCCTCTGTTGAGAGAGGGCTATTTTGACATAGATGGCTTCTTTAACCCCTCTTTCAAACCAGCGGTCCTCTCTGTCCAAAATATGGACTTTGTTGTCTTTGAAAGAATGACCTGTGTCTTTTAAATGCAGATGGACTGCTGAATCTAGTCCTGATATGTTTGTACTCCTACGTTGCCTCTTAAAAAAGCACCTTTGGAACAACCATGACCTGGATGACTGAGAATTTCCTTAGACAACTTTAGAAGGTATTTTTGGATCTTGTCTGTCCATCATGATTGCTTAGTGAAGACAGAAATATTGCAAATGATGGCTCAGTGAAGGCAGAAATATAAAACATATAATATAATATGCAACAATGTGAAACAATGTAAAATATAAAACAACAACACAAGCATTCAGAAGAATGCTTCAGGGGTAACACAAATCTTTACATTAGCAAAGTTTGACAAGAACTTAGTTCATCAATTAAGGCCCTCTTAAAAATGAAGGTCTTTACCAAACTGAAGGAGCTGGAAGCAAGGAAGTGAAAAGGTTACAGGAACTTGGGCCATCAAATGATCCTGCCACTATTCCGGTTGCACAGACATCAATAGGTGTTAAGACACAAAGGAAGAGTCAAGAGGGCAGTTAAACTATGCTGGCCTGATTCTAGGCATTTGCAAAGAATACCTTAATCTGTTACAAATAAAACAATAGAATCTTGTCACATATTAAAACATTTATTACTATGATAAATTTTTGTAGATTGCAGTCCATTTAATGAGCTATGAAACCTAATGGCTATTATGCCAAAGATGCCAAAAACTAGATCTGAGTTAGGTCATTAATAACCTTGCCAGATAAACTTCCCTTGCGTCTGCATGTAACAATAAATACAGTCACTATTTTGGATCAAGGAAATGACCTGCATAGTGACCTTTCTCTCAAGATGCTTTTTTGGGGATAAGGTTATGACCAACCAAGATATTGGTTGAAGATATTAAACACTAAAACTAATAGAAAATATACAAGAAGATCAACTCAGAATCTCTGCAAGTCCAGTGGCTATGATTTGATTATAACATTTAAAACAGTTCACTGCCTTGACATACTATAGACTGTTTGCCATTGGGTGCTTTTAATATTTTGCAGCAATTCCTGAGGGAGAAATTTCCTCCTGAGAGAGAAATAAAAACACTCATCCCAATGAAAAGCCTTGTCCACA